GGGGGGGGGAGGGGGGTGATGACGCAACACTAGCACGGGCTGAACAAAAGCCGAAAAAAAGGCTGAAAAGTGCCGAGCAAGTCGTGCATGCGAAGGGTCCCTCCCACGAACCGCTTCGACGACGATATTGTGATGCGAGAGAAGCAGGGGCGACGAAAGCGCGTCGTTTCACGCCGTCGGCCTGCCGGGCACGCGGCGCCAACATCAAAGCCCGGACTTGACACCACCACGCATGCGCGCCATCGCTGGGTGCAAACCAGGTTCCCACGGCAACACAAATCGGCACCTTCAGCCGCTCGCACGCGACTGTGTGGAGTCGGACGACTTTGGTGGCGGCTTCTTTTTCAAATGGGGACTCGTGCGCAGCGGCTCTCACGGCTCGCGCGTGTTTGTGCGGGCTCGTCGTGCGGAGGGGCCCCCGGGCTGGCATCACACCGACGAGATGTTGAGCCTGAATCCGATTGACGCGCACTTCACTCCGCTGACCGAGACGCACGCACGCGCGCACGACAGCGCGGCGCAACCGCGCTGCGGCCCAGTCGCAGACGGCGTCAATGGCAGTCCGCGGGCACGAGCTTCCTGCGCGCACACGCAAGCGCACGGATACACAAAGCCACTCATAAAGAGCGCACGCGCACCGATGCTACAAACTCTCTCACACGCGGCACACCCACATCAAGTCACACAACGTGAGCGCAGCATTCAAAGTTCTCAAAAGTGTTTCAACTTCAGTTCAAGAAGCATTTGCGCGAGCGAAGTAGCGCAGCGCTCGGTCGGCCTAGTCCGGCGCACGCGCGATGACGTCGGCTGAAGTGCGGCGTGGCAGGCGGTCGTTCGCAAATGTCAGACGCTAACGACGCTCATCATTTAGCGTGCGCGGCGCTAACGGCAACTCGGCGCGCTAATTAACGTGCCGAAGACGGCCGTTTCGTGACGGACGTGAGGCGTCGCCCTCTCCATTAGCGCCGGCTCGTTAGCTCGCCGACGGCTGCGCTCGGCCCGCTAATTGACAGCGAGGACGCGAGCGCGGGTCACTTCCTGTCAGCCGCGTGCCGCATCCTGCTTGTCAAACGCTTGGAAAAAAAGCGAGGCGGGTCGCGAGGTGAAACGCGAGCGGCGGCAAGAATACGCCGTATGCGGCGGCGCTCGGCAGAGGGGGCGACTGACGAATGAATGAAGGAAAGCGAAAATTCATCGGGGTTCGGAAGCGCCGCCATGTTTTGTTCTTGGCCGTCGACCTGCGGTGGCGACCGCGCGCCAGCGGAGGGCCCCCCGCTGCCTTGGCGCTCACTCGAGCCGCGTCGGCACGATTGCGAATCCGCATCCGGCGACGCCAAGGAGCGAAAGCGGCTCGGCTCGAATTCCTGATTTGGAATCGTCGTTCATTGTCGTCGCGATTGAGCGCCCGTTTGGTCAAAGAATCTCTATCTGGCTTTTAATCGTCTCGCTCAGCGCGTGAGTGGACACGCCCGCTTCTCTTCTGCGTACGATCCATTTATCTTATCCAGCTGAGGGAGCAACGGACGAGGGTCAGCGGACTCCATCATGTGCTGTCGTCTTACTGCGGAATTAATTGCGCAACACACTGAAGAAGTAACAAAGTAACAATAAGGAGACTCAATCCCGCAGACGTGCGGTTCGGCACCCGTGGATTTGCATTTTTTTGGGGGGGGGGGCAATATTTTGAAGTGAGGGCGGCCCGGTGGTCGAGTGGTTAGCGCACTGACCTCACGGCGTAGCGGTGCGGGGTCGGATTCTGGCTCCGGCCTCCCCGTGTGGGCTTTGCATGTTCTGCCCGCACCTGCGTGGCTTTTCTGCGGTTTTCTCCCGCATTCCCCAAAACATGCACGGCGGGCCGCTTGAACACTCCAAATTGTCCCGAGGGCGAGCGCGGATGTGTGCCCTGCGATCGGCTGGCGAGCGGTTCAGGGTGTGCCCCGCCTACTGCCCCAAGACGGCTGGGAGGGGCTCGAGCGCGCCCTGCGACCCTTGTGAGGAGAAAGCCGATCGGATAATGGATGGATGGATTTTGAAAATATTTAGGCGGGGGGGGGCGGTCCTAGATTTGTCTGGGATCTTCCCATTTCCCTCCTGTTTTTTTTTTCAGGGGGGGGACACAGATTTTGGCTGGTCAGAAGGGTCCCCATCCCCCACCCATGATGGAGGTCCGCTGTCCTCACAGTGGGGGTCCTCGTTGGTCCCCTCGGCATCTCTGGAGCATGCATCCCAGATGGCTGCTTTTGCGCCACATCTCAACACGCGCGCACGATTTGACGCAGTTTGGAACACGCTTGCGTGCGTGCGTGCGTGCGTGTGTGGCATTTGAAAGCCACACCAGCTTTCATCTCCGTTGGCTTTGGTGCACCCCAAAACTGTGCGCATGCGTGTGGTCTAAAAATAAGCTTTGTCTCCAGGAAGACCTTCCTAATGGAACTTTGCTGTAGCCGCTCGCCCGTCGGCGTGTCAGCGCGTGCGCGCGTCCTATTTTCCACCCGGCAGGTGATATCGTGGCCGTCTCACGACGGAAAGAGGGCCGCTTTGACTCCTCGCGCGGTCCGGATGCGACGTGGGCTTCGGAACCCGGCGGTCTGGGAAACGCGCGCCGCCATCTCGCTTCAAATAAGGAATCGTCACACGCGGGCGCGGCCCGACGGCTTCGCCCGCTTCCGACGGCGTCCAAACGAGTCGAAGAGCCGCTGCCCGTCGGGAGCGGCGACGCGGCCGGCGGGAGGCTGCTCGTTCGAAGGCCGCGAGGGCCGCGGGCTCGCTTGCTGCAAATTGGCGCAGCTCGGCTTGGTTTCCGCGTGTCCGTCGGGCCTCGACTTCAAATTCAAGAAGCGGTCGCTCGTCCTCGTCCTCTTTTCGTTCGCACTCGGGATTTGCTGGCTGTGCTTTTCAAAGGAGAGGAAAAAAGCAAAGGCGTGGCCTTTGGATGCGTCCGCTCATCGTCGAGCAGGGGAAGGAATTTCTCTCCAAATGATTGCTGCAAATGCATGCGCCCTTTTCACACCAGACGGCCGTGATTGTTTTTGGGGGTTTGTTTGTTTTTTTCTGTGTGCGCGCTTAGCTTGACTCCTCCTTTGTAAAAATTGTGCCGGTGAAGGTTCGCGGTGCGTCTGTGGAGGAACGGAGGGGCCGGGCGGGCAAGGTGGCGCAAAACAAATGAAAGGAAGATTGAAAAGCACTCCCGAAATATACACGCAGCCACTGAAGTCGTTCCAAAGTCGGAGAGCGCAGACGTGGCAACGACATGACAAAGCGCACGCCGGCTGCAAGACGTCACGTCAGAAGAGAAAGAATCTTGTTGCGGACCGAGCGGTCGCACGTCCCGGCAGGCGGGTGATGGCGGCCGATGCGGGGCGGTCGACTTTCATCGTCCGTTGGGATGAAACGGTGGGAAAGGTGGCGGGTGCTTTGCCAATGGCTCCGCTAACGTGTCCGTCTGTCTGTCCGTCTGTCCACCCCCCCCCTTGCTTCCGCCTGTTCTTCGCTGCATGATGCTAACTAGCCGAGGCTTGTGATGATGATGATGACGATGATGCAATCAGGAGAAACTCTGCATCGGCGTCCCGCTGAGCTCGTTCGCAATGTTCGCTGGCGTGCTGGCGTGCGGCTGCCTTTCTGTCCGGTCAAAACCCAACAAACGCGTTAAGAAGGTCGCAAACAATTCACTGCGTGTCCGTACGAAACGATAAAGTCAAAGAAAGAAGTCTGCTCGCTGATGACAAGAAAGACGGCAACGGGAAATGAGTTGCCGTCATTTGTGTCGCGACTGCGTTGCGTCGTGTTGACGGCCAAGCGGCGCGACAAAGATAAGCATCGGAAGGCAGCCGCGGCGATCTGGAATCAGAGCAACGCCTGGACACCAAAAAGCTGAAGAAATAGCCGGCACTGAATGCGGAGGCGAAAGGCAACAGCTAACCCCCCCCCCGCCCCCCTCCGCAGAAGCCCTCAGCTCCCAGGCTTATGTCGCTCGGTGTCCGAGAAAGCTAGCAACCGCGGCTCGTGCGTCTTGATTTTTCCACACGTCGACAGCGCACGCGTCCTCGGCTGTCTTTCGGCGCGACTGGCCATTTAGCGGCTCGCGGTCCCGTCGCCCGGCGTCTTCCGTTGCCTCGCTTCCCTTTGCTCGTCGGACGATACGGCGCCGCAGCGTTTCCCGGTGTCCCCGTTTGTTCTGTGCGCTTAGACGGCGCGCGCGGGCGGGAGCGCCAGCATGGGGGGCGCGTGGCCGCCGCCCCTGCCGGTCTTCCTGGCGGCGTGCTGGCTGGTCCCGCTGGGCGGCGCTTCGTCGTCCATGCTGTGTCCCAAGCGCTGCACGTGCCAGAACCTGCTGCCGTCCTACACCGTCCTGTGCGCCAAGACGGGCCTGCTCTTCGTGCCGCCCAACATCGACAGGCAGACGGCCGAGCTGCGCCTCATGGACAACTTCATCACCACGCTCAGGCACCGCGACTTCGCCAACATGTCCAGCCTGGTACCTATCTCCTCCCGAGCGGCGCCGAGCGACCTCGGCGTTCCGACGCGGCGAGCGGCGAGCTCCATCGGCGCATTCTGACAGAAAGCCCTTTCTTGCGCCGGCGAGCTCCGTTAGCGGTCGCACGGGCGCGGATCCCACTCGTGTTCTGGGCAGGACGCGCCCCACCGCGCTACGGTGGGCCGCCTGCTTCCGGGCAGCAGGCCACCAATTCGTCCGTAGCCGTCCTTGCCGTCGGCCTTTGCGGCAACAAAAGTTAGCCCGCTAGGCAAAAGAAGCGCGCAGCCGCCGTTTGAAGGCATTTGGACGTCGCTCCAAAGATCGCCCGTTTCCGGCAACGTCCGCGTGGCAAACTGCGCTGACGATTGCTGTTGGCCATTTCTTGTTCTCTTTTTTCTCCCCAACTGTTATGATCCATCCAAGAAATGGTGGAAAAGAGACTCGGGCCTCAATCGATGACGGTGAATTCCGAACGCCGAAACAAGGACGCGCGCCACACGGGTTACACCCCTCGACATGCGCAAATGGGGCGGCTGGCCCGATCCCCGTTGAAATTGCGTCACACGCCGTCGCCGCCGACACCAAATTAAGAGCGCCGAATGAACGCTAGTTCATCACGCCGTCGTCGCTCAAGAACGATGTCACCCGGCCGCGTCCGGATGACATCGTTCTTCCGGCCGCTCGCACGGTCACCGTCCTAAGCGTCCGTTTCCTTGTCGCTGCGGCGGCGGCGGCGGCGGCAGATCCACCTGACGCTGAGCCGCAACACCATCAGCCAGATCCGGCCGTTGGCCTTCGCCGACCTCCAGGACCTGCACGCCCTCCACTTGGACGCCAACCGCTTGACCGGCCTGGACGACGCCCACTTCCAGGGCCTGCTCAACCTGCGCCACCTCATCCTGGCCAACAACCAGCTGCACCGCATCACCCCGGGAGCCTTCCAGGTCGCGCTTCCGCATCTTGGCTTTGGATCTCAGTCAAGTCCGACGCGGCTCTTGCAGCCCTTCATTGGCGCGGGGGGTTTTTCGTATCGCGATTGGTTCCGGCCCGCGGAGGCTTTTCCGAAACGGCCCCCCCCCCTCCCCCGCTTGCTCGGCACTGGTTTTGAACCCGGCCCCGTCCCCGCAGGACTTCCTGGAGACCCTGGAGGACCTGGACCTGAGCTACAACAACCTGGTGGAGGTCCCGTGGGACACCATCTCCAAGCTGGTCAGCGTCAACACGCTGAGTCTGGACCACAACCTCATCGAGAGCGTCCCCGAGGGGATCTTCTCCAACCTGCACAAGCTGGCCAGGTGCGCCGGGAAGCTCGCCGCCGCGACTCGCCGCCGCCGACGTTTCCGCGAGCGTTTTGTCTTGCCCAGGCTGGACATGACGTCCAACAAGCTGAAGAAGATCCCGCCCGACCCGCTGTTCCTGCGCATCCCGGTGTACGCCAAGATGAAGGGCTCGCCGCTGACGGCCTTGGTCCTGAGCTTCGGCGGGAATCCGCTGCACTGCAACTGCGAGCTGGTCTGGTTGCGGCGGCTGACCCGCGAGGACGACCTGGAGACCTGCGCCTCCCCCAGAGACCTCGCCGGGAAGTACTTCTGGACCATCAGAGAGGTCGGCGCAGCGCCGCTCGCGCGTCAACATTTTCCCTCGGCTCGTTTGCGCGTCCCGTCCGAGCGCGCGTTTCCATTGGCGTCGTTCCGCCCCGAGCGTTCAAATGTTCGCGGCGGCTCGGTTGAACCTTCCCGCGCGAAGACCACTCGCTCCATCTGGCTTCAATGACGAGACGCGTTGCGGCCATTCGGCCTCCCGTCCCGATTCTGTTTGCGACCAACAGGTGGCACCGTCGGGCTCTCCCTGCGGCTGCACACCTGTTGGTCGCGACGCGATTCCTGCTTTCGAAGGACTCGCGGCACGACCGCTCGGTGCCTGTTGGGTTCCTTCCGTTTTTCACGGCCCTCGGAATCGGGATCGTCGGTCAGCGCGGACGGATTACTCCTTCTGTACTTTTTGGATCATTTATCGGAGCACTTTGCAGCAGCACAATCCGTATTCGAAAGCAGTAACAGTTTAACCGAAGCAGGTAATAAATAAGCCAACGCACACATAAATGCAATAAAAATGAATACATCCATCTTTCTGCATCACAATGTAAATATGTATAGATTTGACATTAATTAAGACCTTTATTTTAACAATATGTTGAATAAATAATTGAACCAGCCATGAGTTCACTCCGTATAATTATCGTCATCGTGATTCAAAAGCAGCGGCGGGCCGTGCATTTCGGCCTTCGGTGACGTCACAGACACGAACGCAATGGAGGCTCGCCAAGCAGCGCTTCATTGCAGGAGCATTTCAAGCCACCAAGTACGCATTCGCAATGAAGAGCGGGAAAGTACATTGACAGATACGCTCAAAAATAAAAAGAGGATTTCAAAATACCAACTAAAATGCCACCCAAATGACGCCGCGTGATCTGAAACAAGTCTGTCCAATAAATTGCGCAACGTCGCAGCTTCATACAAGACGCCAACCAAACAAGAACAAAACAAACTATTCTTTGAAAATAAAGTCAACAGATCATTTGCATTTTGAGAAGAGGCCATACAACAGCAAAGAACTGAAAACGTTGAGCAGCCGAGACCGAACCAACTTTCGTGCACGACAATGCGCCATGAGAAATTGCGGGTGAGCAGATTTATTGGATACATTTTTGCATCTTTGTCATTTTATTTCGTTACCATGAATTCAGTCCTAACGAAATAAAATGCCAAGAAGAAACGTCAAATAAAATTCATCGACTCCCCCACGTGGCGCCCGTTCACTGAGCCGCAGATCGACGCGAGTGTCCCCAAACGTTTTGAAACGCGCCGTCGCTCGCAAGCGCGCAGCCGTGCTCCGACGTTTCCTTGCCGCCTCGCTAAACAATCCGGCGTGGCTCCAAACACCAAATCGGTCGGTTGCAAGCAGTCGGCATCCCCGGCGGTACGATTTGCAGCGTTTCTCAGAGGCCGCGAGCCACGGGGAGCGTTCAGAATTGCTCGTCCCAAAATGACGGACAAACCCTTTTCCTTGCTGGGACGGACGGGCTAGCGAGCGCGGGAGTTGGGCGACCTCTTCGCACAATATTGGCGGAAGGCCCGTCTTGAAAATCGCGTGGAAAGTCGTTCCGCAACCAGATCGACGTCTTCTCCTTCGGCCATTTTGGCTTGAAATGCAGCGATGGCTCTCGCGGGCGCTAATCCGAGTCGGCCAGTCTCGACGTAAACCCTCGTCGCTGGCCCCGGTACGCAGACTCGTGATCTGATCGGCTATTGCGACCCGACTGCGCCGGTTGGTTTACAGCGCGCAGGGGCCTCCTCCGTTTAAGCTGAAGTTTCATTTACCCGGCAACACAAGCTGGCTGAAATACGATTGGTTAAAAACGAGACCATAATCAACAAGTTATTGATGAGTGGCTTTCAATGTTATTTAAAATAACATTGAAAGCCACTCGACTAAGTGGAAATAATACAATGTAAAGAATACAGAGAAGAATGTTGTTGACATATTTATGAAAATAAAATAACGTGAATTAAACTTGTTCATTTAATAAATGGACTTTTCTGAGAATGTTTGGGCCAGCAGAGAAGTGTTTGTGTTCTACGCTTTCTTACGTTTAGAACCTAAACGTAAGAAAGCGTACACTGGAACACAAACATATGAAGTGGACCGAACAAAAGAACTCCAAGTCCCAACGTCCAACCCGGAAGTGGAGCGCCGGCGTGATTAATTAACCCCCAGCTGCAAAGCAATTGCCTTGGTTCAAACCTCAAATTGCAGCCGGACAAACGTGACAACGGTGCAAAAATGAGCTCAATAAAGACAGCGACGCTGTTGCAACAACCCTTTCCCCCACGCGGGTTCAACTGCCGATTGCGAACGGCCGGCAACCACCGCGAGCAGCCCGAGAGG